CAGCCCAATGTCCATGAGTTTTGACCTAAACCTAATAACCCTACACCCTAATAACCCTAAAGCCCTAACAACCCTAAACCGCTGTAACCCCAAACCCTAAACCCTAATAAGCCTGAACCCTAATGAGCCTCAACGCTAAACCCTAATTACCCTAAACCCTAAACGCAAATAACCTTAAACCCTACTAAGCCCTAAGCCATGGAATTCAAGGCTGGGGAAGATGTTTGGTGATGGGCAGAAGTCAGCTTGCCTTTGGCAAGCCTCTTCCATCCAAATCGCATGGGGATTGTTCTAAAGGTCCTTTCAACGGAGTTATGGGAAGGTGGCATGGGGATGCGCAGGAATAGGGTGTAGGGTTTAGGATGGTTATAGAGGTCCCCGAAAAGGAGGGACCACCGGGAATACTCTCCCTTAAAGAGGGGTCCTAATCCAAAAAGGGAATCTACCTTGTGGCCATTTTTTGTGACAGGTCTTTTGAACAACTACTAGGTTCCCCAGTGACCCCTTGATAATAAGCTCACCACTTTCCTAATGATCAGATTTAATAAGGAAATCCCATAATAAAAGGGAGAAAGGGTACTACTAAATTCCTAGTTTAACAACTAACACATCACCTGAATGGGCGCAGCTTTTCGCAAGGTCTGAGCGACAACATGTTGCAACGCGCGCGGGCACAGAGGCTTTGGAGCCTTTGCAGCTTGTGATGTAGCCCTAATCCAGGTCCATCTCGACGAACGGCGACGAAGACAATGCACTTTCCTCAGCTGTCTCAATTTCAAAAGACCACCTACGTAAACCCTGTAAACCTTGAACCCTATTTCGCACAGGGACCAAGCACACTTAATGACAAGAGTCTTCAGCTTTCCAGGTAATGTAGACCCCTGATTAGTAAACCCCCTCCCCTTGATGGGGCTTAATAATATCATAGGGATCACAATATGTAGGCCCTTAAAGGGACGGGGTTTATTAATCAGGGGTCCCTAAACCCTAAACCCTAAACATTAAAGCCTAAACCCTAAACCCTAAACCTCAAACCCTAAACCCTACACCCTAAACCTACGTTAATGGTGGTGAAAGTTGAGGCCTGGCCTAAGGCCTGGTCAACGGGGAAGTCTTCCCATTTCAAGTAGGGTTTAGGGCTTAGGGAATGCAATTCGGGTTCTATGGGGGTAATATAGGGGTTACATAGGGATAGTGGAAAGAAATATAGGGTACATGGTAAGTAATAGATAATTCAAAAAAGTTGGCATGGAGCGAGGGGCTTATCAGAGTGGTAGGAGGAAGTCATTCTCCAAACCCACCGCTTCTGTTGCAGATTATGGAGACGCCTCAGAGTCTTCAACACAATATGAGCTGTAGTCTAAAC